CCGCCCTTCCCGCCCGGCGCGACGCCGCTGCCCCCGAACTCGCCGCCGCCCTTCCCGCCAGGCAAGGCTCCGCGCCCGCCGCCCTCGCCGCCGCCCTTCCCGCCGGGCAAGGCCCCGACCCCGCCGCCGTCGCCGCCACCCACCCCGCCCGGCAAGGCGCCCACGCCGCCGCCGCCGCCGCCCTTCCCGCCCGGCCTCGCCCCCACGCCGCCGCCTCTGCCGCCGCCCTATCCGCCCGGCAAGGCACCGAGCCCGCCCCCGTCGCCGCCGCCCTTCCCGCCCGGCGCGACGCCGCTGCCTCCGCCCTCGCCGTCGCCCTACCCACCAGGCAAGGCTCCCCGCCCGCCGCCCTCGCCGCCGCCCTTCCCGCCGGGCAAGGCCCCGACCCCGCCGCCGTCACCGCCACCCACCCCGCCCGGCAAGGCGCCCACGCCGCCGCCGCCGCCGCCCTTCCCGCCCGGCCTCGCCCCCACGCCGCCGCCTCTGCCGCCGCCCTATCCGCCCGGCAAGGCACCGACGCCGCCCCCGTCGCCGCCGCCCTTCCCGCCCGGCGCGACGCCGCGGCCTCCGCCCTCGCCGTCGCCCTTCCCGCCAGGCAAGGCTCCCCGCCCGCCGCCCTCGCCGCCGCCCTTCCCGCCGGGCAAGGCCCCGACCCCGCCGCCGTCGCCGCCACCCACCCCGCCCGGCAAGGCGCCCACGCCGCCGCCGTCGCCGCCCTTCCCGCCCGGCCTCGCCCCCACGCCGCCGCCTCTGCCGCCGCCCTATCCGCCCGGCAAGGCACCGACGCCGCCCCCGTCGCCGCCGCCCTTCCCGCCCGGCGCGACGCCGCTGCCTCCGCCCTCGCCGTCGCCCTTCCCGCCAGGCAAGGCTCCCCGCCCGCCGCCCTCGCCGCCGCCCTTCCCGCCGGGCAAGGCCCCGACCCCGCCGCCGTCGCCGCCACCCACCCCGCCCGGCAAGGCGCCCACGCCGCCGCCGTCGCCGCCCTTCCCGCCCGGCCTCGCCCCTACGCCGCCGCCTCTGCCGCCGCCCTATCCGCCCGGCAAGGCACCGACGCCGCCCCCGTCGTCGCCGCCCTTCCCGCCCGGGGCGACGCCGCTGCCTCCGCCCTCGTCGTCGCCCTTCCCGCCAGGCAAGGCTCCCCGATCGCCGCCCTCGTCGTCGCCCTTCCCGTCGGAAAAGGCCTCGACCCCGCCGCCGTC